CATCCAAACCCATGGGCATTTTTGAGACATCCATAATTTTCTATTTACCCATAATTTTAATTATTTTTTCTACTTACTCTCTAAATTTAAAAATATTTTTTATTATACATAATATGCTCTTTATAAAGAAAGATAGCGAGGAATATGCTTGGCAATTGACACTCTTTATTTTATTCGAATTAACCTTCGTTATGCTCTCATGGCCACAACAGTGTTCTTATTCCATATTAGGTAAATGCACGAGACATATTGGATGTGGTACTTAGATGTACCTATCAAGTTTAAGTACAAGTTGACTCATCAATAAAAATATTAAAATGTTCAATCAGCAAATCAAAGATATAATTGTTTATTTAAGGATCTTTTTATCTTAATTGTTTTTAAGGCGGTAGTGTCAATAATTTTCAACTCGTAAATATATACGAGAGAGAGATGCGTAAATCTATAATATATTAAATATCATATCAAGTTATAATCATTTTTTGGACGATTCTAACTTTACGAAGTGTAATTTAATTATTTCAATAATATCTTACTTTTTCGTTTTTCAATATGTTTAATTTATTTAACCATTTAGTTACCATCAATGCACTACATATTTGACAGATTCTTTTCACTTGTACGGTTTCATTAATATATGAATTCCCTATTATTAATTCTCAATTAAGTAACATTCACATTCATTTCTTAATTCTAATTATAAATTAATTAAAATTTCGCATTCAAAATTGGATTTCATTATTCACGTCAATGTATGATAATTAACATCTAATTTTACTTAATTGAAAATTAAATAAATTATTTAACATTTATTATCAAGTATATATTCTCTGATATTAATTCTAAATTAATTAACATTCACGAATATTCAAATGTTACTTTTACAGCACTTATAAACTATTTCATAATAACTTGCAACATCGTTCAATGTTGACTAATATATTAAATATCACATCGAGTGAGAATCATTTTTTTGGACGATTCTAACTCTACCATAATTTAATTATTTCAATATGCCTTATTTTTCGTTTTTCAATATATATTTATTTTATTTAACAGTTTAGTTACAATCAATATATGTATGCATGTAACATATTCATTTCACATGTGTGCTTTATTAATTTATGAATTTTCTATTATTAATTCTCAATTAATTAATATTCACGTTCGTTTAATTTAGTTCATTAAAAAGGTCGTCCGTACCAAACATCTCAGCTCGCCACCCACACCCAACTGAACCCAACTCTCCAACCATCAATGGAAACTAAAACCACCGACAGAAAACTAACATTCTTCTCTGATTTTGACAACAAAGAAACATTCTTTTTTCATTTTGACAACCATCGGCTTCGTTTCTCCACAATTTATTGCAAAAATTTTTAAAAATTAATAAAATTATTCTCATAAATGAATTAAGAACCCTCTGGATTCAAAGAGAAAGATGTAACCACGAAACTTTCAGATTCTGGAAATCCAATTCAACTCTCAGATTCTCCCTTTTTCTATCGCATTTGTTGTCGAAGACTTTTGGAAGTTACACGTCCATGGCATAAGCATGAAAATGTTTCATGAGAACCATAAAGAGTTGGAATGATCATTCATACATGATACAACGTCCTTCGATTAATTAGTACAAATTGTACCTTAACAACGACTTTGTTGGGAGCAAACAAGAAGTCACACATCGGTTGGAAGAAGAAAAGAATCGACACTAATGATCAAATGATTTATGAGTGAATAATATTATTTAGCTCCAGTGGTGTTAAATCACTTATTTAGATGATCACGCTTAATATGTTCAATTAAATAAATTACGTGATATTGAATTTAAGTGAACATAATTACTTAATATCATGCAGAAGTTGTTGATTTTTAGATTTAATCACAAAAGAAAATTATTTTTCCCTTTAAAGATTAAATTCAAATGGATAATAGATTTTAAATCACCTTGAGGTCATTGAATTTTGTTTTTGGACCATTACATATAAGGGTAAGATAATTACATGAAGGTTCTTTAAATGGCATTCCAACTTTCTAGCGAAAGCTTCCTCCCTCAGTTCACCCTCATTTTTCACCTTTAGGTGCCTCCCTTTTGAAAAAATGGGAGAATGTGGCAAGTCATAACCTTAAGAAAATGTGCCTACAAATGGTATATTTATAATATTCAGTTAGGGTTTCATAATTCCACATTTTTTCTTAGACTTTATTGTAACATGCCAATCAAGTCTCACGTCTATATTAGAGCCAAAAGAGGAGTCTAACTGGACTCACAAGACCCAAGTTCCAATAAATATTTCTTATTGTGTCAATTCTTGACCAATCAAGATAAATCTATTAATCCTGACTCATTATATAAAAAGTCAAAATTGCACTCCGAGTCGAGTGATAATTATGGAAGCAAATTATGATCCGATGACAATATTCTCCAATCATCATTCCACAAGTCAACCACCATTTGTCCGTCAATATGTTGAGATCGACAAAATTATCGTTTTGGCTTTAAACATGTATTACCTTTCAAGTCCCATTTTCCTAAGAAAAATTTGTTGTGCACAAATCCCAATATAGAGTCGAACGATTCCAACGTCATACTGAAATCAGGTTCAAATGCCTATAGAAAATGACTTAAAGTGACGATTATCTCATCGTGATGATTAATAGATTCTATTATTGCAAGTATATGATTTTTAATTGTTTCATCTCGATTCTCAAATCACCGAGATCAATCTTCTAATTATAACTTTTCTCGTTGGTACCTCAAAGAACTTGAAATAGCAATCAAAAGTACATTACTCACTTAGGAATTATGTGACTTGCTCAACGATCGAGTAGAGTCTCATTCCTAGCAGTCACATATGTGTCATCTACATGATCCCGTTCAATGTGCACCAAAAACATCATTATTCTTGTTCCCAAAATCTAAACAAATCTCAATAAAAAAAAATTCAATCTTATCAATATAAAGCGTTCAACTTTATGTACCGACTAAGAACAATATATATCAATCATGTTAAAAATTGTGTTTCACCATACTTGAACCATCAAATACACAATCTGTAAAATCCAATATGATCATGGAACTTCATATTATTATTACAAATTAAAACAAGCGAATAATCGAATATTAATTCATAATGTCGTTCACAAAATATTACTCGAAGGACATCAAACTAACAGATGCCACCGGAACTAAACCAACTAAACCAAAAGTGATAATTAACGTTACGTGCTATTTAGCCCATGTTTGGTGGGCATCTTTTTGTAAAAGTATTGTTTTAAATAATGATTTTTTTTAGAATGTGTTATTAAAAAGTAATGTGTAAATATATAATTGAAAATGAGTATATAAAAAAAAATTGTAAGAATATAAGACAAACGGACTTAAACACGCTAAAATTTGAACTCCTTTATTTCATAAAGGTCAACACGCACGCGCCCATGTACCCACTGTCCCCAAAAGATTCCCTCTGGCATACGTGCGGTATCACATCCACGTTTAAGATATCTATGGCTCCTATTTCACACCTCTCCCTCCCTCTCTCTCTCTCTCACACATGATGTGATGTGATCTGAATGGCATAAATCACATGGGCATAGGTGAAGTGGCCCGCAATTAATCAACAGTAGATTAAATTAGCATTGTTTATTTCATTGTCTGTCCCCCATGTGATGTTGCGACCCTCCTTTCTTTTCCATCCATCAAAGAAGGGCAGCAAAAAGACACCCCTCCCCTCCCCTCCACAAATAAAACTACTGCAGCTAGACGACAAATTCTTGAAATATACATGCACAACATGTCCATCAATTAACACCCCAATCAAGACCAGTGGGGGTAGGGGTGGGGTGGGGTAGTGTAATCTTTAATTTTCTTGTATTTGCATATGCTATACAAGTTAAGAAAGATACCCATACGGATTTTTCTAATTTCTTTGTAGGATTATACAATGGGGAATAGCCATCAATGGTGAGAAAAAAAGGGAAGAAATTACAGACCCTGAAATTTACTTACTTCTACACATTGATTTTCCGTTGATTTCACTCTAACTGTTTCCTTTTTTTTTTTTACCTATGGTCCAACAACAGATAAGAAATTTCACAGAGTAGAATTCATTAAAGAGAAAATGGATGGCTGTCCCACCTTCCTTTACTGCCTTTTAATGTATGCATTTGTATGATAGTATAGTATTTGGAACTAATGCTGGCTGCTGGTACTCAGACACTGACTCGGAATTTGATTTTTGGTTGTAACTACAGTGACAATCAATCAATCTTCGTCCTGTATCAAAATTCAACACAAAATAAATGCCAAAACCAACCTCAGTAAATGAACAAGCACCAAGATGTAGGTACTTAGCATAAGCAAGCTCATAATTAAGACTAGTTCACTTACCCGGAAGCTAAAAAGCAAGACAAGATTCTAGGCCTACATTCCAATGGTCTCATGACCAGAAGCAAACCTGTATTAGTCATGTATGTACTTTGCTTAAATTAATAAATGCGTGTAAATTAACAAGTCACTAGTAGTATAGTAAGGCAAGCAGTGAGTAATCAACTATACCTAGGTACTTGGAAGTAACATGATTTGAATGGAGCCATGTCTAGTGAAGAACCGGCAGGAAATAAGGATGAACTGATCAAATTATTGTTAGCAGGAGGCGACGCTGAAATTGAAGCGACCTTATCTGCCTCTCCAGGCTCCATAGAGAAAGCTGTCGTATATTCTCCAGCAGCGTTTGGAGATGCAAACGGGCTATCGGGGAGGTTGTGTTCCAAACTGCATTCAGATTAAATCTAGAAACTTAATAATTAAGAAATTTAATGCATACGCCACATAAATAGATGAATTAAAGGTCACGCCATCAACATTTAATAGGCATTCAACTAACACATTGGAATGCTAATTTTGGAGCCTTACTGGTATTATAGTTTTGACTTGAGATTAAAAAACAGAAAACAAGGAGGTCCAGTACCTTTCTTGCAAATCATTTTCCTTATTGGGATTTTCTCTGTCTTTGTTATTTTCATCCTTGAGAGGAAAAGATTGCTTCTCTGTATCAGTAACATTTACGGTCTGTTTAGATTCCAGAGCAGTAATATTTTCTGGATTTTTCACTGCTGAAATTGAAACATTTTCTGCAACATAATTTCACATGTAAAAATCTTTATCCCATCTTTCAACAACCATGAAACTCCAATGTCTAATGAAAACTGATGTGAATAAAGTGGTACCCTTTTTAGATTCCGGGCTGCTGCGGTCACCGGATAGGACGTTATTTTGGTTCAAAAAACTCGGGGAGTGTGTCGGGGATGAAATAATGGTACCAGTCGAGAGAGTTCGGTGGTGGCTATTCTTCTTGATGTCAAGAAGTTGTAAACCCGTAAATCTCCTATTTTGGAGCTCAATGGCTTGCTGCAAATCTGCTTGCTCCTCTAATTTTCTTCTCCATAGCATGTCGGGATTGTTGTAGAACATCCTCAAACCTAAAGCCGGACAAGAAAATGCTCAACATAAATAATGAATCTTAAAGTTCACACAGGTCAAAGGAGAATGCTATATTCTTGTAGAAACCAATTGATTTTTAAAGAAAACAACAAATTGTTTATGCATCAATATCTGCTTACCAAGCTGAAGATCATAAGAATCTCTCGACTCAAGGCCGGTAGGGCTACTACTACCTCCAGTGTACTCTCCCTTCTCCATCTGTGGCTGTTTTCTACAAGTATCAACAACCATAACATTAACAACCCACAGATAATTGGGCTACAACCCAGCAAGGCCTAGACAAGGAGAGTTACCGGTATTTGTCTGGAATTTTGCCCTTCTCCTTGTACGGCTTGACAAGTACCCGAGCATCACACACAAAGTGTGGATTGCCCTTTGCAAGAATGAGCTTTACAGTCTCTGGATAAACAAATGTGACAAAACCAAACATCCGTTTCTGCTGATATGGAATCCTCACATCTTGAACCGGCCCGTAAATACTTCAAGATAAAGCAAATTATTTAATAAACCAATTCCTCAGTTCAATTAGCTAGAAAAATAGTTTAATTAACCTCATTCAAGCTTAACAAGAAATATATGCACCTGAAATAATTGGACACATCTTCTTCCTTGAAAGTACTATCAGCTGGAAATGTCAAGTAAATCTGCCTCGAACCAGGATTTATCAAACCAAAATCACCTCTTTCGAGCCGAGACCGACTAAATTTGTGCATATCATCGCCCATAAAGGCTCTACAAGTTCAAAGCCATAATTATTTACTTCAATCAAAATTTAGAACCCAAGAAGTAAAAAGATCAAGTAAAAAAAGTTCATGCCTTGGACTTTCAGTTTGCAGTTGCTGCTGGAGAAGAAAATTCATGCATCTGTTTGTGGCCACTGGGGAGTACGGGAAATTAGAAGAAGCCATGAGTTGAGAGGCTGCGGCCAGCCTTTGTTGTTGCAAAGACTTGGATCTAAGCAGCTCTTGGCACTGCTCCATCTCAAACTTGCTTGGTGAGCCAACCATGGCGGCACCATCCGCTCCGTTCTCACCATGGACGAACCTGCAACTGGTACCATTTTTGCAGTACCCTCTAGCAAAGTAAAGACAAGGTTTCCATCCAAACCCTCCACCAAGATCATCAGGACCCAAGCAGATATCACTAGCTGAGCAGCTGCGGCGGTGAGGAAAGCCGTTGACTGACTCACCACCCCAGTTCTCAGTGGAACCACCGTAAGAAGGGAAGAACATCCCTTCGTCGCCTCCATTTCCACTTGGACTTGAGCCCAAATCTTGCTGTGTGTAGAACATATCAGGGCTTTTAGGCATCAGTGATGGAGAGCCATCGTTGAGGAAAGAAAGGTGATCTTGTAAATGAAGCTCATCAATCAGATCAACCTCTCCAGTAGTATAAAAAGGTGGCGCAGCAGAATTCGTAGCAGATGGAGAGGTTACATTATATGCAACTGGTGCAGAACCAGGATTGATTAAATCATCCGGGGTTTGAAAATCAGACAGACTTGAATTAGCCCAAGAGGAAGCTGCAGTCGAAGACTGGTTAAGCATACTGAGAGAAGGAAAATTCACAGCACCAAGAAGCCTAAAAGAAGCTGAAGAAAAATTAGTCCTTGAGCGAGAGAAAGGGTTGCTGAAAGGTGAGGGAGAAGGAGAAGGAGAAGGACTTGAAGGGGTTGAAGGAGTATTTGATGACACTAAACCCAAATCTTTCCTAGCTCTAAGAATCACAGATTGAACCAGAGATTCAGGGCCAAAAGCCAAACGGATCATTTCTTTCTCACCATGGTCTTGTAACAGGAGAATTCCCATGATTTTAGAGGCATTTTCAGGGTCCAAACTTTGGATCCTTTGAAAAACAATCTTTGTTGCTTCGTATGCATCCATGTTCTATTTCAGAGGTTGGTAATAGATTCCCCTCCAACTTCCAAACCTACCTTTTTCTTTCAATCACTAGCTACTCTTTCTTTGAGTAAAGAAAGACTGAAAAATGAAAATGAAAAATCCCTTCTTTCTTATTCCTAGCCACGCCTACCAACTGTAGTATAGCAGTAAGCAGTAGGATCACTTAAAATTTTCCCTTGTTCCTGCAGAAAACCCAGAACGGTAAACAAGAGGAAAATGAAAAAAAACAAGGAAAAGTTTGGTGGTTGAATTTCTCTATAAAGAAAGATTAGAACCAAAGGAAAAAAAAAAAAAGAAAAGAAAGTGTCTTTCTCTCAATTTTCTATACCAAAATTTAATAAAAGAATTTGCTTTGAACTCTAAACTCTAAAGTACTACTTACCCATGAAAGATCTCAAATCTTTCATCTCTGACCAGTGTAATCAACTGAAAATAATCAATAAAAACCCACATTCAATTCAACATTCTGTTCAGTCTCTATTATTATTTTTTTCCTCTTTCAACGTATAGTTTTGAGCAATTGAAGTTACAGCTAAAGCACCGTCTTCTTTCTATGCAGCCTGCCTGTCTGCAGGATTTTGCAGCAGTTTGACAGCAACAGCAGGAAGCACAGGAGGTCCATCAATACTGCCTGCTGTAACACAATTAATTCCAAGAACCCTCCATAGTTTACCGTTTTCTTTATAGGTTCGTTGTAAAAGAAAACCCAAGCAGTAACTCTGATCTCATCAAAAAGCAGACTAGATTTTAAGCTGGCGTCTGAAATTGGGCCATTTTATTAAAAGCACGTTTGAACCCTCACCCCCGCACCCCCACACACTCCTTTTTTTAAAAAAAATATATAATGCATTTTTGAATAATATTTTGACGAAAAATGTGTGGTTAAAAAATAAATTTTTTTTATTTGCATGTAACATTATTTTATTGAAAAATGTATGATTGAAAATAAAAAAAAAATGTATTTTAAAAATAATGTGTGCCAAACAAGGCCTAAAAGATCTTCCCAAAAGTTGCTAAAAAAAAAACTCCAAATGCCATCTGGCATCATAAAATGACACTTCTCCCAATTCAACACCAAGTATGTCTCCTTACATCGTTGAAGGACCAAGCCCAGATTCTCTAAGCATTCGTCAAAGGATGAACCGAATACAGAGAAGTCATCCATGAAAATCTCTATGATTTTTTCCACCATGTCGAAGTATGACCCAAATTTCTATTGGGATAAAGATTGAGTTGGTTAATTGATAAAAGGAACAAAAGTCTTATTGATTTTGAAGTACGGTTGAAAAAGTGATAAAGTTCATCAATGATTGAAATTTTGATTGATAAAAGGAATTTAGATAATTGAATACTTGGTTTTGAAGTTTTGAAAGGAAAACTAGCGCCAAGCGCTAGGTTCAAAGCGTCTAGTCGCCCATAACGGAAGAAATTGGAAGCATTGGCCCAAGACATGGCGCCCAAGAGCTATGAACGCAACGCTCAAGTGTCGTGTCGGCGCTTGCTCATCGCGAGTCTGTTGTCTATCACCGAGTTATTATAAATTGTCTTCTTTTAAAAATATTTTTATGTATTTAGAAGGAGTTAATTGCAGTGTTCTAAAAAGCGTAGCGAAAAGTAGAAGTCGAGCTTCAGCCGAGACGAGGTTAGACGAAGCCTAGCATTAAAAAAAAGGTAAAAAAAGGTTTTCTTGTTTTAATATTATTTTAAATTTTTAAATCAATCTAAAAATTATTTAATAATTAAAAGAAAAAAAAACATAAAAAGCATTGAAAAGCATTAAAAAACGTAAAAAAAACCGCGCCCTAGGCATATCTAGGTGTGAAAAGAATTTTAAAAAAATTAAAAATTAAAAAAATGAAAAAGTGCGTAGCGAGACATTTTGGTCTTGCTTCAAGTTTAGACGCCGATTTTTAAAACATTAGTTAATTGTTTTATTACACATCGAACTTTAATCATTGTCATGCTTTATTAATTGTACTTTGAATTGCTTTCAAATGGTCACTCCTTCACCTACGAAGTTACCGTTGCTTGGGAAACATCCATGGATAGATGGAGTTCAATTGACAGAGTTAAAACTGTCAATAAGCATTGCATGACTGTCACGTCTAAAAGAGTTCATCATTTCATTACACGTTGAATTTTTCACATTATCACACTTTTATTCACCGTACTGAAATTATTATCAAATGGTCACTGAATTTGCACTCCGTCCATTACCCACGAAATTATCATTTCCTTTTTTTTTTTATTCGCAATCTTCTAGGACATAGCAAAAAAAATCTTTCACTGTGTTTTTTAGTTAAAAAAAAAAAATCTTTTTTATATAAATTATTCTTTAAAAATTGAGTCAAACATGGACACGGTTAAAAAAAACTCTACTTTAGACTATGTTTGAGCCCTATTTATTTTTTTGTTGAAATGAGTTCTATTATACCAATTTTTTGGAGAATATATAGTTAAAAAGTAAGAAAAATTATAAGTTTACGTGCAAAATATTTTATTTGAAAAATGTGTAATTAAAAATGAATTTTTAGATAACTACGCCCTGATCGAACTTTCTTTGGAAGGGTTCAACCGTTCAACAGTCGAAATACAACCTAATATCAGTGAAGGTCCCCGACCTTTAACTCCATTGCACTTTAGTCCTCCACATTCAGCTAAGCCATTGTTTGAAACCCGTTTTTCCCCAAAAATTTATTTCTTCTACAATATTGTCTTCATAATTGTAGGATCATGTTGACTTGAGTTCATTTTCATGTCAGACATTAATAACCCGTCTGAATCAATTTTAATGGATATTTCCATTATTGCCCTTTTAATGTGTTAGGTAGAACAGTGAAATTCAAAAGCTAAAGTTGAGGGTGTTTGGGGAAATTTTCTTGTACAATACGAGGGCAAAACCGGAAGATTTCAACAGGGAACATGGTCCATTAATTGCTTGTCTGATACTACCCAGGCTTTAGGCAGTGAATGTCTGCATATACTGTAGTAGAAATAAAATTTTCTTCGAAAAAACGGGTTTCAAACGGGACCTAAATTTTCCACACGTACGCATATAGAATCATAGATACACACACTTTGAATATGACACGAAGGGTAGTATTGTCCATAGATCTCCGTGTCAAAATAGTGCACGTTCTCACTTGCACTAACATCTGACACGAACATAGGCACACGCGCCCAATTTTTCTAACTTCTTTTAGCCGTTTGAGGTGATGAATCCTAGACGCAGTTGGAGTGCGCGTACCCACTTTTTTGTGTGCCCAGATGCGTCTTGTTATGTCCCGACCGTCCGATCAAGGATGTGGCCTTGATTGGTTCAATTCAATTCTACCCTTTAGGAAATAGTCAAATGGTCACTCCAAATTAATGTACACCCTCTGGCGCAAAGGTAGCAAATAAAGCAAGGCAATTATTCTACACTTTGCACATGGTGGGGGTGGGGGTGGGGGTGGGGGTGGGGGTGCAAGTGAACATGTTACTCGTATTATTGTTGAAGGTTATGTCTCTTGTCTTTGTTGGGGAGGTTGTCAACCAATTCATGTGAATTTTCTTGCAATTTGCTTCAATTTGTCCTAAAGTACAATCAAAATATTTTTGGACCAACTCCACCTAGAAACGAGCACAATGTCTTTTATACGCATTTGTGTGAGCATTCTCGAAGGCGTCAGTTTACTAAAGGATCTACAATCTGTATAGATCTGTCTCTAAAAATTCTGTGCAGGTTGCAAATTTCAAGTTTTCGAATTTATTGTAGTGTTTGAGAAAAAAAAATTGTGTTCGATCGGTATGAGTGGACCAACTCGAGTAGCTTGATTCAATTGACATGTTTAGATATGCATGTACGATTCAATCACGATCAAATTTGTTGGAAAATGATGCCCTAGACCCAATCTTACATATGGACCCGTTTTAGGATACGTTAATAGTACAAATAATGAGTGCATGTCCATTTTAATAACAAACATCAGTTTATAGTTAGTAACGAGTAAAATAGAAAAATGGAATATTAATCCAATGAGTATATGTAATATTTATATATGATATGTCAAAAACTTCGATAAAGATTAAAATCTAGAATTTTAGCAAAGTCAAAATTAATAATTAATTTTAATCATATATTTTATCAGATCTATAAACTTTCAACCATACATTTCATTAACTTTTTATCAGAATATGCTAAAAACTAATTTTAATTCCTACAAACATGGGCTAATTAAAGTTCATCTTAAATATTCGAAATATAAATGTTGGAAGTATAGAGACTAATCCAACTTCTATCTAATTTCAAATAAGACTAAATTTTCAATCGACTAAACAACTTATCCAAATGTATTAGTCAAAAATGCTTAAGAACTCTTGATAAAAGAAATCTCTCGACGAGGTATTGTTCTACGGCCATGCTACCACAGCATATATGTAGACATCGCAATCAAATCTTACGATGAAGATTTGGACAAGGGAATCCTTTTCGTCCTCACATCAACATTGAAAAATCAAATTTTAAGATTGACATCATGTAAGTTTACACAAATAAAGAAACTAAGATTTTTTTATTTAAAAGGCGATAGTTAAAGGAGCACTCCATTTTCTACAAAGACATTAAAGGTGGTGAGCTTTTTCTTTAAACGATTATCCCTAATTATGATGTCTCAATATTCACTTAGGAGCTCAATTTTGAAAGACTAGTTATAAAAGTAGTAGGCAATTGGTAGTGTTAACAATGAAACATGCACAAACTTTTAACTTGATTGCACCACTTTGAGATGTAAATCCAAATCGTAAAATATATGTTTATTATTGTAAATTAAGCACGTGTCCCCATCGACACCTCGGTGTACAGCCCTAAATAAGGTCATTTGGCGTTGTTATTAGGATTTTACTATATATACATCGAGATTGACACCTCGGTGTACAGTCCCCTTTACAACAGGGGTTCATGAATTTTTTATTAGATGTGGACCTCTTCTTTTGTGAGGGGG